GCGGTGGAGAATGTAAAGACAGATATTAGTTAGCGTCAGACAACAGAGATTGGTGAGGTTCTCAGGCTGGTTTGTTGGATGCTGGCCAACAGTTTGCAGATCACCCAGGTGGTGTTGCAAGCCCAACCGTGTTGGGTTGTCTGCTGGTCAGTCATTTGCAGATCACCCATGTGGTCTGCATGCGGCGGAGCACAAATTTGTGGTTCATCCGAATAATGCTGGTCAACCATTTGCAGATCCCCCATGTGGTCTATGGCTTGTGGGGTCAACTGCAATCCGGGCAGATCATGCTCCAATAGGGCTGCATCTTGAGTAGGGACTGTCCCTGGAGTCGGGGGTGTACTCTGGGAAGGGACCGCATCGGGTTGTACAGGTGAGTCGTGAATATCTATTGCCGCAGGGTATAAAACATGGTGTCATGGCTGCCTGCAGGCAGGTGGACTATCTGCAGGGACTGTCTGCAGGAGACATAGGAGTGGATATTGCCATTTGAAAAAAAGGAACCGCAACAACCCGAGAGGAGGTACAGAGAGAATCAGGGCAGACAAAGAAACAGGTTGCGGATCCCTGGACAAGCGACAATGTCGCGGATGTCATCGGCGATACACAACAAGAGGAGGAGTGGTGTTGCAAACAGAAGATGAACTTGTCCGTAGCAACGAAGGGGGAACAATGGGAACAATGGGAACTGGAGAGTCTGTTCGCAAGCAAGACCATGGAGGAGATGGGGTGGTGAGGAGGAATGCAGCCGTCTGCGGCCAAGAGCAGGAAGAGATGAGAGGGGGGTGGATTGGGCAAGATTTCAAAATAAAGGACGTGAGTGTCGGAGAGACTGTGATGTTCTTTGCACTGGAGCTGCAGGAGAGGAAGCTGTAGCAGTTAGACTACACTAGGGGGAATTACAGTCATGGAAACTGCTGCACTGAAAACTGCAGCAGTAGAAACTGCAACAGCGGAAACTGCAGCATTGGAAACTGGAGTAGTGGACACTGCAGCAGTGGAAACCGCAACAGTGGAAACTGCAGCAGTGGAAACTGCAGCAGTGGAGACTGCAGGAGTGGACACTGCAGCAGTGGAAAATGTGGTAGCAGCAGATGAGCAAGCAGGGGCAGGAGCAGGATGAGAGCGTCGTGGGGGTGAAGAAGAAATTGGATGGTACAAGGACCATCACATCATGCGTCGGAACCACTGAGAGAGACGCGTCACATGCGTAGGATAGGGCAGTTGGCGAGAGCGCATGCGGCAGGTCCACCCCTTAGCAAGGGTTGGTGGGGAATGCCCACGAGAAAGCATGCGACGAGTAAGTGTTGTTGCCGCAGTTCGAAAGTCCTGCGAAGTGTTACAAATTTATTCAAATCTGGTCAATTACCCAGTGAACACACCAGCTGGTTGATAGAAAGGATGTTGGAGGTCGCACTTGGATAACGAATGACAAGGAAGTCCCAAGCGAGCACTTTATCAAAGACGTGCATGTGAAGTGAGCCATAGGAACGGACCCATAGATGGATACGGGAACCGGGACCGGCGTCCCTTACAAAGTCCGCCGCATCTCATGTGTCCTTTTGACTAACTGGTGGTGGAAAAGGAACCAGAGTCACCAGACTAACACTCCCCAGAGCAGAATGGACCCCGGACCTTAGGGTCCTTTTTTGCTGTAGTTAAAAAATAAAGCAAATATTAACTAGGCTACCAGCAGGGCCGCCCTGTTTTCCTGCGCGGCCCGGCTGTGAAAGGACAAGGGAAGGTCCCGACAAAAAAAGCTAAAAAAAACAAAACAATCCAAAAAATCCGGATGTTATGCGGAAAAAATAAACTAAAGAACTTTTGCCTCAGAGTCACATAGAAATTCTTTACCAAGAAAAAAATAAATAAATAAAAAATTCTGAGTGAGGACACCGCCCGGCCAGGCCTGCCCTGCCTGGCTGGGCCTGGCTGGTTGGACCGGGGGGGGGCAAAGAACCGCTGCAATCAGACTCACTCTCATTCACACTTCGCATGCATACAAACAGGTGTGCAGCAAACTGGCGACAAGCGCCCACTCAAAAACTCAGAGATATGGTAGCCAAGAACACAGTTCAGGTCCAAGTCCACTTCAATGGCTATGGCGACTCAGCGCCCACACAACTCTCTGTTCGCACACACAGGATCGCCCTGGATATCCCACACGCGATACTCTGTACACACACACACACACACTCACACTGCACACTATCTACAGCTACGGCGGCTATGGCCGTTACTACCCTATCGCTATGGCTAAGCTCCTTCACTCTCGCCCACTTCGTCCTCGGGCTCACTGCAGACCACCTCGCACAAGTCGCTATGACAGCGCTTCCGCATGGCTCACGCAGGAATGAATGAATGGCTGGGCGCTGCCCTTTGATTTATACTTCTGCAGCTCGTTCGTCTGGCGCTTTCCCATGCCCGTAATGCACACAGTCCCATGCAGTACTTGCTTGACTGGACCAGGACTGACTGGGACTGGGACTGCTGACTCAGCACGGGTAGACTCCACCACTTGCCCACTTGCCTCACTACTTGCCCACTTGCCTAAGCCTAAACATGGGCAACTTCGAAAGGCCACTACTCGGACCTTCCTGAAGGCCGTAGACTTGGCCTTTCGATACTGTAGCAGCTACGACCTTGACCTTTCTGGACTGTAGCAGCTACGACCTTGACCCTTCGAGAAAGCTACAGCTACGACTTCTAGACCTGACTGAGACTCCTACTCGACAGGTCTACAGATCGAACCCCTGCTACCTATGGACCCTACGACAGCCTACCAACTGTTACAAATACACAGGTCACGGGTTCAACCCTAGGGGTTGACACAGATACTGTACACAGGTAAGGTGGGAACTAGGGATCGAGCCCTGGGATCTGCATCGGCTACTGCGAACTGGTGAATACTGTTTCACCGCCCTGTTGTCCTCTTCTCTCTCTCTGCCTACGGTTTTACCGGGCAGTTCTGTTTGTGACGATATATATATATATCGTCACAAATATATATATTATATATATATATTGTCACATCACTACAAACTAAAAGAGCGCACTTTGCGGAACAAAGAATAAAAGCAAAAAACGGGCACAGTGATAACAT